AGAGCGAGAGAGAGAGTGAGAGTGAGAGTGAGAGTGAGAGTGAGAGTGAGAGTGAGAGTGAGAGTGAGAGTGAGAGTGAGAGTGAGAGTGAGAGAGAAAGAAGGAGGTCTTACCGAGAATCACGAATCCACCGATAGCTGAAAACCCTGCTGGAATCCTTCGATGCTCAGCATGCCGGCATCAAACTCCAACAAGTCATCGAAGTCGTCGTTCTTTTTGCGCTTCTGAGAAGGGGCGAGGGTGCTCACTTCTGGGCAGTCCTCGCTCTCGGGCTTGGTACGCGTGCTGAAGCTGTGTAGGTCACGGGCACGGCTCCAAGCGGCACCCATCTCCTTCTCATTGATGGCTGTGTTTGCATCGGCCGTTGTCACGACATTCGAAGCGCTCGATGACTTCACATCGAAGACTTCGGTGCACCCGGCCTCGAGCCCGAAGCTTCTCGGAAGCAGCACTCCTTCGACGCTCTAAACTACATGACTCAATGACCCAACAGGAAGCACTGGATCGTCGGAAATGCAGACCCAAACCCAATCAACCAAACTAAAACCATTAAGCAAGCTTTAATTAAGGCTTTAATTCATGAAGCTTAAGTCGCTGGAACCTTTCATGAACGTTTGGGCAACTCAGCACCTGAGAGCACTCGCCCCCCTTGCTTGATCTTGGTCACCTGCTTGTCGATCGGCTTTCTGCCCCATTTCGCCTCATAAGCTTCCACTGGCCAGAGTATTCCCAGGCACGTCCGAAGTTCGAGACCTTGCTGGTCGGTGACCTGCACGACATTGTCATTGAGCGAATATTCGGCGCCCTGATCTGGAACATAACCTCCGGTCTTGCGTCTCTTGGCCAGGGACTCGTTCTGTTGCTGTTCATACTTGTGCACATCGGCCATGTGAGTCTGGTACCTGATGGTAATTCTCAGAAGGGTAGATCACTCCCGGGACAACCGAATCTAAATCTAGGACCTGGGACCTAGGAGGACCTAGGACCTATGACATAGTACCTCCAGCCTACGACTACGAACAAAGGCTTCAACGAGAAACCTTGGGTTAAGCTGAATGGCTGGCGGCTAAGGGCTAAGAGGCTTAAGATGTCAAAGCTCGAAACTTAGATGATTTCGACTCAGACTAGGGCTTTGTTTTGTAGGTTATACAGATAACATCCCTATTAATCGAGATCCTCAGCGGCCCCTTCGCCCATGACTATGACGAGAGCGGTTGTATCGATGTTGGCTACGGCTATGACTATGACCTATGGCTATGGTCGGCTTAAAGTTTAGGCTCTGGTTGTGGCTACAGGTTTTAGTATTAGCCCTTGGCCAGGTCAGTGATTCTGGCCGACTGTGCCTCGATAATGATCCAGGCAACTATTCTACGGCTATGACTCCCATGACTATGATTATACACTAAAGCTATGACGACTGTAACTGTGACTTCTTATGACTGATGCTACGTATGCTTCAGAGTGATTATAACAACCAGAATAACAGACGACATATAACTCACAATCGGATCAGAAATAAAGCTAAAGTTTCAAGTAACGAAAACAGTAGACTTTAGACTAGACTGAAGAGCACTGTAGAGTAGACTGCAGACGACTAAAGACTCCAGCACAGACCCGACTCCAGAAATATAAATAACAATGACAATATAAACACCTGCATAAGCTTTTTCCTGTGGTGTATTGGTGAAGTATGATATGTTGCGGTGAAAGACGATATCCTTCCGCTTGTAGGATAGCACATCCGTTGGCATCACTAGCCAAAACCCACTTCTGGCCACCAAACTCAAAAGCAGCCTCAGAAAACAATGCTTGCATAAACCTGGCCCTGATGCTCTTCCTCGCTCTCGCCGACCTTCTTCTGAAACGTAGCCTTCGCCTCCGCCGTCTGAAGCACGGATGGATTACTGCGTCTCAAGGTAGCCAAGCAGATGAGACACTCTTTGTGCCTGTCGGATTTAAAGCATAGGAATGCTTTATCTGGTTGCTGTTGCACAAAGGGATTCGGAAAGTCCCTTCCTCGCCGACAATACAAGCATCCGCGAAATTGGGCCGTGCCCCACAAAGCGGATGCTTCACTCGATTCGGATGGTAGCAACGAGGTGCCTGCTGCAGACATTCTGCAAAGGCTGTGCCAGGTTATCAAAGAACCAGGTCTCGCTGATAAAATCTGTGGGCAAGCACGGCAAAACACAAATCTCAAGCTTAATTCGAATGGCTTTTCTGTGTGGCGAGATCAGCCGGCACATGTGAAAGTGCAAAGAACCACATTGGACTAAGATAAGAGTTCTGAGCTCAGAATCGTATGATTTTTGTGAGATTGGACTTTCCTAGGGCCCCTCTAGCATGGGATCTCTTCTACCAGACCAAGAGCACTCGATGTGATGTGCCAGGAATGCCTACCAGAAAGAAAACACAGCCCACGACTGAAGACCGAGAGCCCTGCGGCGCGAAGCGAATCATCGCCAACTCGCGTCTATGCACCTGGGCACAGCAGCTCTGGAGCAAGAAAGGAAATTAAGGAAGTTCGTGGGCAGGCTTCAACAAAGCTACACATGTCTCACTCGGCACATGGGTTTCTAAATCATTGATTTATTAAAGTAAACCCAATTAAAATAAGTTAAATTTAAACCATTCAATAATCATTAACTTAATCTCTCCATGCAAGCCATCGTGCACTGCTTTCACCACTTGAAACCACTTGCAGTTGCATTTGCCACTTTGTCACTTTGTCTCGAGCACATCACGGCAAGATCAAAATCTCGGAATCTTCTGGCGTGGCCATGGTCCATGGCCCGGTACCAAGAACCGGCATCGAGGCATGAAGAGGGGTTGTTAGCTGTTAGTCTAAGACTAGGAGTCTACGGTGATTTGCAAAGCCCTGCATTACAACTATAATCTTACCTGAGAATTACCCTGCAAGATACAGAAATGGCTAAAGGAAGGTATTATTGTTTCTTTGGGTGCAGTTGGCCGGCCACGACCAGCATGCAAAACTCCGAGGATGCCAGCATTCAAAAATCCGAGGACGGAAGCATGGCGAGCAAAGGGCTCAGGCCTCCCAAGCGAAGAGATCGTCCAGGGTGTCCGCACGCAACCGCATCGGTCTTGTGGATGAAGCTGATGTCTCTGCAGGATGCGGTGCGACCAAGCGCTGTTTCTCGAGGACCACGGCTCTCATCTGAAGATTTGCTTCGACAGTCTTCTTGGTGATCAAAGCAGCAGCAAAGCAGAAACTGTTGAAGGCGTTGCCCGCCAAATCCGCGAGCAGATCCTGCTGGTCTGCAAAGTCCAACAGTTTGAACTGCTCGGGGCCGTAATGCAGGCCTTGCAAGAGCATCATCTCCATCCCGCAGGCCAGTCGCGCTTTCTTCGTGAGGAGGAGTTGGCCACCCGGCGTGACGATATCGCAAGTGTTATTCTGGATGGCACGCGCACCTCGAAAGCTCTGGCTCAGCTCGACACCCGCATCGCGGGTGTCCGGGAAGTGGATGCCGTAGATCTTGCAGAGGTCGAATTGTCTCTCTGTGAGCTCCACCAGGCCTGGATGGCTTTGCAACGTTGCATCAGCAGGTCTTGCTGCCTGCCACCAGTCCATTCCGTTAGCCTGCATGGCCTTGGCATGCACCGTTGCCCACTTCTGTTTCTTCAGGTTGGGCTTCTGGCGGGACTCCCTCCATGCAGCTTTTGCCTGTGCTCGCTGGATGTGCTCCCTGACGAAGATCGAGCTCTCTTCAAGCAGGAAGTCACTGAGGGGGCGGAGTCCCCCACCTGGTGGAACACACAAGGTGTTCATGATCTGCAAGGCCAACTGGGAAACCTCATGCTCCGACACCAGAGCTTCATCTGCCATCCACTGCGGAATGCAGATCATAAATACTCTCTGCCTCGTAACCGGCATTCCAAACAAAGCCGGCTTCAAGATGAAAGGCACCATGATGAGGCCCACCGCCTTTGCACGGTGAGCGCAGTACTGCAGGTTATTCCGCCAAGGTTCACCGGTGTCTGGATTCCTTCCCTTCGGTGTATCCAGCAAGCCCATGACGTTTTCGAGAATCATGCCATGGAATTTCTTCTGGGAGTCCTGGTCCTGCATGGCCTCAACACAGTGCATGGCGTCGTCGAACACTTTTCCTGTCCGTTTGCCTGCCTGCCTCACCACGGAAACATTGTCGCCTGCCCGAAAGTTCAGCTTCGAGACATCCTGGCAAGGAAAGCCCATCCACAGCTCCTCACATGGCTTCAACTTCTCAATCTCCTCCATCAAGACATTGTACACACGTGCAGTACCAGGGCCAGCACGCAAGCTGGACGTATCCACGTAGAGGCTCTTGAGGTCTTCGGACGGATCTTTCATGCCGGTGAAAAGGCGTTGAAGGAAAGCCCTTTTCCTGGCATCTTTCTCGCAAGACCATACATGATCCAGCTGCATTGGCGTGCCAAGCCGCTTCATGGCCGACACAAATGCTTTGGCCACCATGATGGGCCCATCACTCCCGGAACAAGCTGAAGCAACGTTCAGAACGGGCTTCCCAGAAAGCATCTCCAGCAAATCCGCCCGCATGCCATCCGGCAGCCGATGCACGGCCTGGCAGCACCACTCCACCAGCTGGTCGAACCCTGCCTTTTCAAAGCTTCCCTGGATGTTGTAGTTCGGCTGGTCAGTAGCGGGGCTTGGGAATAGTGGCTGGACCGCATCAATGAGTGACTCGTCCTCCGGCTCGTCATCCACTTCTGAGTCATGCTGCTCGGGTTCGTCACCTTGTGATGGGGTATGATCGCCGGTATCCACCTCGTCCTCGTCCTCCTGATTGTCCTCGCCCTCGTCCATGCCACCGCTGTTGTCAGAGCAATCGTCCCCAGCCACGGCACCATCTGCATCAGGCTCCGATGGCTCCGGGTCCTCCTGGGAATCGGGCTCCTTGTCAGCCTGCGTCTCCGGGTCTTCCACTTTCGGAGAGGGAGAACAGCTGGCATCGGGATCGAGATCAAGAGACACCGGTGCCTCAGAAGCCTGAGCGGCTTCAGTCTCACCACCCAGTGGCGAATCAGAAGCTTCAGCAGCTTCACTCTGACCATCACCTTGCTCCGGCAGCTTCACAGTCTCAGATGGAAGCTCGACTTTGGCCACTTTCTTCGCAGCAGGCTTGCGCATAACCCGCCGACCACCCCCACGCTTTCCCATGATGGCACTGCAGATACACTTCTTTAAAAGTGCAGATCAAGAAAAGATGGACACCAACAAGCCTGCAAAAGGGGATTCAAATATGTGTGTAATACGAACCATGGACGCATACTCTAGGGTAGGGCCGTAGGACCGTAGGATGTATGATTGACCTTTAAAGCTCAAGACTCATAATGACTCATAATCGTAGATGATAAATTTTCTCTGTCCCAATGCAAGGACCTAGGACTAGGACCTAAGATTCTTATATCAGGACACAGGACACAGTCAATAAGTCAATATTATGTAACAATGTAAATGGTTTAAATTCTGAAGTACTGAAGTAACTACACCGAATGGACAGAGTTGAGTGATTTGACTTAACCGACTGAGACATGTGAGCCATGTGCTGGGTGACGGCGCATTCACGGTGAGCCATGCACAATAACTCCCAACTTCCAGCTTGGCTTGGCATGAGCAAGCACTCCACAGGACCCCTGCCAAGCTATCAATCGTGTGGAGAATCACTGGCTGAGCCCTGCGCGACATCGGGGGAAACAATATGCTGCTGCGAAGCGTCCCAGTCTGCAGTGCATTGGGAAGGCCAGGCGGCTCAGCTCGGGATTTGTTATGTTAGGAAAGGGAGAATATTCAAGGACCCAAGAGGATTGTGCTTTGTGCCTTCGGGGCCTAGAACCTTGAAGCCGTGGACGTCGGGCATTAAGCCAGTTTGAGATTCAGTAAAGATGGGGTCAAGCTCGCTTCCTGCCTTTAATTGCCAAATAACCGGATTTGCTTGTGTTGAACCAGGACAGGTACCCAGACCTACAGAGCGAAACGGCCTCAACCTGCATTGCCTTCTCGTTGTAGAACTTAGCCGCAGCCCGGACTTAGCCTTAGCCTGGGGTCTGGGAGTCGGGTCAGTCTGGTTCCTCCAATTGAAATCACCCAAACTACCCCTAAGGGCCTAAGGGCCTATTATAAGTCCTAAGGCCTAAGGTTAAAGTTAAATAACTGAATGAGCCCGGGGCTCCCGTTAATTTAGCTGGCCCTGTCCAAGCACCTCAGGACGAGCAAAAAGGTGGTGATGGTACTCGGCCATAAGTAGTATATAACAGAGTTGTCAACTTATGATATCATAAGCACCGCCCTTTGGACGGAACCGTAGGACCGAGCGACCTAAGCCTAGTCCCTACGAACTTAACTAAAGCCTTATCATCTTATCCTCAGCTTTAACCCTTTAGCCTTAAGCCGTTAAGCCTTACCTGAAACCTCCTCGAAGGCTTGAACCTTTCTAATTTGCCAAACATAACTCTGAATCCAAAACCAGAATCTCTAGACTAGATGCTTTAGCTGCTTTAGCTGCTAGATTCTAGATTCTAAACTTCTAGCCTCGAAGCCAACCAGTAGCCAGTAATCACCGATGGAATCACTAATCCAAACTTAAGATCGCAATCTTTCCCTTTCAACTACAGACGAACCCGACCGGCCTTGAGCCAACAGACGAGACTGAGCAGAAGGCCACTTGGCCGCGGTGTCTGGCAACCAAGGGACCTTAAGTCGGGACAAGGTCTAGCGGTCTAGCAAGTCTAGCGGCCAGTCTGACGGCATCTGTTTCGGCAAAGTCAGAATATGGGCTATCATGCGCTTGGGCCTTGGGCCTAATTATATGAGGGAAGGAGGGAGGGGGGGAGGGGGGAGGGGGGAGGGGGGAGGCGGGAGGGGGAAGGAGGGAGGGGGCAAGGAGCCAAAAACCCATGATGCGCGCGCGCGCGCATCATAAAAAAAAAGTAGATTGCGAAAATTTGAGACATTTTCCGGTTCAAGTGCGGAACAAAGTTGTGGAAAAACTTTTCTGGCGCGGAAAGATTTGCGGAAAAAGTTGTGGAAAAACTTTTCTGGTGCGGAAAGATTTGCGGAAAAAGTTGTGGAAAAACTTTTCTGGTGCGGAAAGATTTGCGGAAAAGGTTGTGGACAAACTTTCTCTGACGCGGAAACATTTGCGGAAAAGGTTGTGGAAAAAAATTCTTGATGCGGAAAGAGTTGCGGACAAAGTTGTGGAAAAACGTTTGGGTGATGCGGAAAGATTTGTGGACAAACTGTTCTTGATGCGGAAAGATTTGCGGACAAAGTTGTGGAAAAACTTTTGGGTGATGCGGAAAAGTTTGTGGACAAACCGCTTTTGATGCGGAAAGATTTGCGGACAAAGTTGTGGAAAAACTTGTGGGTGATGCGGAAAAAATTGTGGACAAACTGTTTTTGATGCGGAAAGATTTGCGGAAAAAGTTGTGGAAACACTTGTGTCGAATGCGGACAAACTTGTGGAAAAGTGCGCTGTGGCAGCTGTGAAACCTGTTTATTCTAAACTTTGTTATGTTAAAAGTTTTATAGAATTAACAGGTTTCAATGGGTTTTCCGCAACGTTTTCCGCATGTGTTGCCACACCAGAATTTTTTTCCACAATGTTTTTTTCCGCAAATCTTTCCGCATCAGGCAAACGTTTTCCACAAAGTTGTCCGCACATCTTTCCGCATCAGAAAAGTTTTTTCCACAACTTTGTCCGCAACTCTTTCCGCACCAGACAAAGTTTTTCCACAACCTTTTCCACCAGTCTTTCCGCATCAGACAAAGCTTTTCCATAACCTTTTCCACCAATCTTTCTGCACCAGATAAAGTTTTGTCCACAACCTTTTCCGCAGATCTTTCCGCACCAGACAGATACTTTTCCACAATATTTTCCACAAGTCGTTCCGCATCAGAAACCTTTTTCCGCGACGCTTTCCGCATCAGCACGAAGTTTTCCCACCGCTTATCCACAAACTCTTCCGCATCTTGTCCGCATCAGCAAAAGTTCTTTCCGCAAGCTTTCCACGCCAGCACCAAGATTGTTCACAGCAACTTTCCCCCGGATTTTTGCTGTCTTTTCACAAGTGCCATATCCGAAGCTATCTCCCCAAAGTTTCCAGCAAGTATTCCTCACCCGAAAACATGCGTACCTGCTCGCCTGCTTACACAAAGTCTTCACCATCCGAAATGGCAGGATTCGGCAAGATGCCACAAGACTGTTATCTCATGAACACCAATCTGTATAGTTGGCCTTAATCACAATAGTCGGAATCAAAACTTAAAACCGAAGACAAGGTTCAATCAACTTGAATCATGACTGTGCAATTCGCTAGCTTGCGCCTAGCAATGCCTGGGGGGGGGGGAGGCGCAGTCACGCAACCCGGAGCTTCGAGTCCACAGCCATGAACATGAATTCTCAACCTGGGAATGGTGCCTAAACTCGGGCCCGGGCATCTTCCGATCAAGCAGCTCCAAGCATCTCAGCAAGCTTGAGTTTGAAAGTAAGATCTCACTAACAATGGAAGAGAAGCACTCTCGAGTCTCAAGGTTAAAGACAATATGCACAAGTCACAAGTCAGAAGACCGACTCAACTGCAAGCCGCACGCCGCAAGCCTGGACCCAACAGCGACACAGACGAAACTAGGACTCACAAACGAGACAAGTCCTTTTCCTAGTCTTTCCTCATGTCAATCTGTTTATAGTTTAGCTGAGTTGTTTAGTTTCAAATTTGAATAATATTTAACCTTTAACTGAACTGCTAATGCTGCTAAAGTTGCTGAAGTCTGCCAAAGTAACTGGCATATCACGACTACCACTTTCGTGACTCTAGGGTAGGTGGGCACACGTCAAGCTGGGACTGGGACCTGTCCTATGGACTCAGAATCAGAACGGATCATTGGCTGTCGGATATGTCAACCCCAACCCGGCCAATCCCCCAGATCCGGGCCCCCAAACGCTAAAGTCACTCAGGCGAAGCAAAGTCGGTTCCCTGCCGCCCCGAAACCCGAAACATCTTGGCGGCAGCCTGTCTGAATAAGCGGCACGGTCTCGTCCTGAGACGGGGCAAACAAACTAGTACTGTAGTAATTGTAGTAACGGTACCATTTAACACTGGACGTCTGATCCGACACTGGCCAGTACACGGCAGACAAAACCGGCTTAGGCAGTAAAGGGACAGCTGTAATGAAGGACTAAGGACTAGGGAACATAAGACCCATAAGACCCATAACACTCATAAGACCATAGGACCATGGACTTTGGACCATAGACCATAGAGCCACAAGTAAAACATATCACCATATGGACCATATCATCATGTTTTGGAATTTTACAAAAATATAAAGCGCCTTTGATTGTTCAGAAGCACGCACGATTTATGCGGCTACTTATCTAGTCCATGCCAGGAAAAGATCTTGAGATACAGCACTTGCAATAGATTACGGCTGCTAATCACGAAACACCTTGTTTTCCCTACGTGTAAGATCAGTTCAACCCGTTAGATTCTGGAACCTTAGGGCACCCAGCACACCCGAAAACTAGGGGGTCCAGAAGGCTAGACTATGACTATGACTATGACTCCTATCACAAGTACGTTGCAGAAACTGCAAAATGGCAGATTATGGATTGTTGTAGATTTAGACTCCACGCAGACAGCTACCACGTTCTTGAAAGAACAGCAACTTCAGGTAACAAGGTGCAGCAGCAGTGGGCTAACAATCAATGGCATCGCAACCAGATTGATTAACCGAGACTGCCCTAACATCATGCACGGCAAAGCCGATGCACTAAGTCCGGGACAAAGTCGAGTCATGCTCGTGCTCCTGCTTTCGGCCTTCGAACTCGAACTGCCCAACTTCCGGACCTCAAGTCCAGGCTTGCTTCTTGGTATTGAGTCGCCGTGGCCGTCAAACCGGCATCCAACCACTTCACCAGGTCCGCTTCGGTATCATGCAGCGTTGGTGCACGCTGCAACCGCGCAGAAACCGTGCGTAGTCTCTCTGATCCCAGAGGCGGAGATGAAATCACGCAAACACAACTCCGGTGCAGCTTGCAGGTCGCCTTCAGAGTGTCGACACCAATCTGGTGTAGTCTGCCCACGTCAGTATTGTCGGACTTTCGCCTGAAGTGCCAGCCGCCAACATCCTCTATGTCACATGAATCTGCGCCTCCGGCAAAGGGCTCGGGTGGCACTGGCCCATCGGCAACCCCGACAACAGATGCATCCTCCGCTCTGAAATCATTCCCGGTGTCAGCGCCGGGCTGCTCATGTGGCACGTCGGCCTCGCCGACCTCTGCCGCGGCACCATCTTCAAGCCAGGCCTCTTCATCTCCCATGTTTTCGAGCTCCTCCAAAAGAGATTCGGCATCTGCATCTTTAACTTCACCAGTTTCCGACTCCTTATCAGAGTCGACACCCTTGGGCTGATCTTCAATTGCAATAAGTCTGCGCCTGGAAACCTTCGGTTTACGATCATGGGTCAAATCATCCAACAAATCAAAGTCGTTGGAACCGTCTTGATCTGGGCGTGCCGGCGCGGGCTGTCGCGGCTCTTGAGGTTCGCGTTGACTTGTGGCATCAAAGACTTCCCCCAGCTCGACGATTCGATGCCGGTCAAGGCGTGGAGCCGCATCGTCGAGAGTCCACTTCAACAGACGCACACGAACGTGTGCCACAGGTTTTGCGTCGACGAAGCACAACCGAGCAGCCAATGCATCTTCCGACAGCCATCTCAGCCTTAATGTCTGAGTCTTAGTGTCCGGACATAACTGTTTAACTTAATATAAAATATAATATAATGCTATACTACATGGTGCCTACACAAAAGACCATCGTGTTGCAGAGCACACTCAGGACTTGCGTCTTGACTCATACAAACAACGAAATGCCCGGGTTTAGAAGCATTCAAGACAAAGACAAGGTGGCCTGGCTTTAAAATTTAGTGACTGAGTTTTGGACTGAAACTTAACAAGTAACTTAGGTAATTTAGGTGATATAAATAGAAATTTAGACAGTGTTACAGTGTTAGACTGTAAGTTGCTAGTTATTAAGTTACTAGCTACTAGTTACTAGTTAGTACCCGAAGCAAGTAACCGTACCTTGGGTAAGGTATCACATCATTGATGCACTTCGAGAAGATACCAGATGTGCTAAGTCTGCTAAGTTCCCCACGCCCAAGCCAATCTGACAAGTTGCACTTCAACTCAATGGCTCAACTTCAACGACCCAAAACCCGAAATCCCAAAGTACCAATGGGACTGCAAGCAGCTTTCCCACCGATGCCTGGCATATGGGCCGTCGACCGGGCCTGCAGGGGGCCTCGTACTGCTCATAGCAGCACTGCAAGACGACACCGAGGGCAGAAGACGCTGATGCCTCGGTCGGCAAGTCAAGCCGAGAAACCCGGTTTGCAGCTTGCAGCTTGAGCTTGCTTCAGCTTGGCCAGCTTGGCTTGATCTTTGAACAAGTTTCGGGAACCAGACTATGCTATCGGCACGGACTTGGGCTGCAATTACGACGGGGCGACTGCTATAACTGACTACCCAATTGGACCTAACTTATCTACAACTCACCGACTTGACCTGACTAGTCTCTCGTGGAGCGATGACAAGCAAAGGCACGGATATAATATATCTGGATATGCAATGTCACGCATGTCACACGCCTAGTCCTCAACATCAATGGACAGGCAAACAAGGACGCACTATACAAGTCAAGCCGGAAAACACACACACACACAGAGAGAAACTTAACTACTCAATGACTTAATGACCTAATAAACAGACTCGAAAGACACACTTCTTAACTCAACCAAATTTCTTTGTAAACACACAGACAGATGAGCAAAGTTGCACACGCCGTATCGGGCTGCAACTGAACGAAATTGATTTGAAAGGGGTGGTGTGCCTGCCGTCCACTTGCTGAAGCAACCGCGAAGAACATCACACTCGAGGGTCGAGCAGGACGGTCCGCCATGGTCGGGGCCCCATCGACATAGCACTCTGCAGCGAGACAAATGTTTGCTGCAGGAACTAGCTTTGCCCATCCTTTGGGTTTCGCACAGCCAGTCTGCACAACCGTCTTCAGCAAATCCAGAAGTCGGCTATGAAACAAGATAGATCGTCTCGTGTTTTGGGTCCGGCAAAGTGCCCCACAGCAAGCAGGGTACTCGACCCTGTCAGGCATATCACATCCTGACACGAAGCGGGTGGCTCGACGGCGAAATTCCTGAATCTCCTTTTCCAGATGCACTTTTGCGCAGAACCACCGTTCTCGCAGGGCTCCTGCCTCCAAAGGGAAAGACTCCATTTCTGCAAGTCGGGAGGGGACGTTGATGCCCTGACCTGAAGCTTGGTCCACCAGCGGAGCTCTCAAGCTCTGACAAGTCACATGGTCTGGAAATGGTGGTTTGGAAGCATCCGGAGAACCGTCGGCCGGACCAAGACCCTGCATCATCGCTCTCCATCTATCCTCACGAGACGGATCTTCCTGTTCGGGCGGGGCCTGGGCAACCATTTCCAAGTCTGGGCCCGCTGGTGCCTGCGACGCATTGCGTTGCAGACGCTCGAAATCAGCTCTCAATTGGGAAGCTAACCTCCGATTCTCGAACTCTTCACGTCGCGCCGGCGGCAAAGCATTGAAAGCTGCCTTGCAGGCATTCCATGATTCTTTCGACACCGGATTAAAAGCCTTCCCCGAGGCTCGCTGGCCCTGGATCCAATCATGACGAAAGAGCTCAAAGGCGCCCATGGCCTTGGGGCGTGACGTCTTGCCCTCCGCGCCACCCCCAACCGGAAGACTCCTGGCACGCTTCCGTGCGCCTCTCCCGTCCGCGAGATGCACATCCTGAATCAAGCCGGGTAATTCGCCGCAACAGCTACAGCTGGTACTTTGCCATATTTTTATTCTTCTTCTTATGATTATTATTATTACGACTAAGTTTATTAGTATTATTGATTTAGTTCTTCTTCCTTGGTAATACTAGTATGGGCCTGGGTCCTGGGCTCTTATTCTGCTCTTCTTCTTCTTCTTCGGATGTGTTATTATTTGTATTATATTATATTGGATGGTTCAAGTTAACCTCAAATTCTGATATGATATGTTATGTTTCATTAGGTTGGATAAGATAACAGTGTTGGGGCAGTATTAATAATAGTATTATTGGACTACTCGGCTCTATACTAACATGATATGAGTTTAGATTAAGGCACTTTCGTACCATCCTTTATTATGTCGCTACATTACTCCAGGTTCCTTAATGTCATGAACCATAATTCATAATCGTATAAACATGTGTATACCGCTTACAAATATGTACAATATATACATATATATAATATATATATAACATCATATACAATTAGAATCATAATGTACTCTATTTATCATGTGTTAGGAATGCACGATAAAATACGCCACTCGTACATGACATATTACACTTTGTGGCATTATGACGTTATGATGTAAAATACTGTATGCTTTAATAATTGTAATATAGGTCATTTTGCAAAAAATCCCTGGTATTGGCTAATGATGTTAAAGTATAATATTACTATATGATGACATATTGCTTTGTACTGTTGTTTCATGGGTCCACGACGGTGTGCCAGATTCAACTTTGTTTGCCAATTCTTTATGCACATGTATACTGTGGAGATGAGGATTGAATAGTGTTAAGTAGCTGGGTCGCGAATCTAGTGCGATGTTGCATTCTCGATTTCAGATATTTCCAAACTCTCGACTCCCACGTAGAGGTCCTAGAGAGTCCCAGACTGCAGACTATGCGTGGTTAGACCCGTGCCTGGTTACATATTATTACTAGTTATTAGCTATTATTAGTTCTTATTATTATATTGGTATATGAAAATATATGTCTATAAATAAGCAGACTGTGGTAAAATAAAACGAAAGTATAGAAGTATGTCATGAACACATAGTGATAATAAATAAATAAATATATAGAATAAAACCAGAAACCGACAAACGACCCAGCTGCCTGCCGATCTTGCACCCCGTGCGCAACCTGGTCGAGCAATGGCTGCGCAGGCACATCCAAGCCGACGGCCCGTCGTTTGCGCTCCTCTTCCAGACGTTCAACTGCACTGGCCTGATGGCGTGCCTCCTGCAGAATGGAAGTTGCTGCGAAAGTATGAAAGGGCGTGGAAGGATTCGCAGACAGCTTGTGTCGGGCATGCCTCTGCTCCACAGATGCGATCCTGGGGTCACTGGACGCAAGAGCTAGGATCGAATTCCAAGTTGTTTTCAACCTTATAAGCTGAAACTGTTCCCAATCGGCTTTGGCTTTGACCACGACTCGGACTCCGACCTATGGCACGCGGCTCCGCATGACTCCATAAAGTGTATGGGCTACACATGAGTAATGACTCGACTGCGATTATGACTCCGAGTTTGAATAAAACTAAAAGTTCTACTAAAAGTCTAAGAGACTAAGAACCTCCGAGAATCTAATGGTGTGTGTGTGTGTGTGTAAAGAATCTTAAGAGGAAAGACTAAGATTAAGCAAGACCTCCGAAGTGCATAAGCCTTTTTTAAGCCGGACGCAAGATGCTGCCAATTAATTCATCCAAACAAATAATAAAAGGCAACCAATGCTTGAATAACTGACTAGCTGCGACTAACTGACTAACTAACCAACTAAATAACCAAAGGACCAATTGACTACGTAAGTAAGTAAGTGGTAAGTGACTAACTAAGAAAACTGCCTAACTAACCAACAATGTAACAACCAGGTAATAACCACCTAACCGAACCAGTATTTCTGAGAGTAGATGAGAAATACTAGCGACTAACTGAGTGACTAACTGACTAACAGCCCATGTAAAGTGAATTATGTATGAGATCGTTTCATATTATTCATAATTGTTAACTAACCAAGTAATCTATGCTTTTGTAACAAACCTTTGTATTGATGATTTGGTTCGTAGTTTCAAGTTTAATCACATCCGATTCATGTCGGGGGAACTAAGGGAACTGTGTACGACTGAAAGCACGAGCTCAGAGTCGAGAGCTTCATGATGAGGGAGGAAAGCAAGAACATCCATCTCCAGGACAATAGGTCGCCCACAAACTCTGGCTCCGAGAGCATCTCTTTCAGTTCCCTCGCGAAGCCCGCAGGAAGGCAACACGAAGGGGTTGCAAAGAATCGTTTGCAAAGCTCAGGGTGTTCTGCGATGCGCCTGCAGTCTGCCAGGCCAAACAATTGCCACGGCTGCCGGTCCAAATTGGAAGCAAAGCGTTGCTGTAACTCCGTTGAAATCATCAGAATCTTGGCGCGCGCAGAAAGAGCCTCGTGCTGCCTCTCACGCATCCAGGCCAGCATGTCATGATCCCCGGAAAGGTTCACCAGCAGGGCAAGTCGAGAAGTTTTGCCTTGCAGGCATGTGGCATAATATTGCATCACGGCATGGTTCTTCGAAGTCCGCGGCCAAACCTCCGACAGCAGTTTCGGCCATGTTTGTGAGTCACAGGCGGTGTGTGCAAATTTCAGGTACGTATCGTGTATCTGTCGCAAAGGCTCAGTGGTGATAGCCAGAAGTACACGCTCGAATCGTTCTTGCGGCGATGACATCATTTGCCTGAAACGGTTGAAGCGTCGGCCTGCAAGAGCTTGCCAGTTCACCTTGTCATCCACGTCAGGATCCCGATCAGGAGGAGGCTCGCACTGGTTTGCTTGCTGTGCCCATTGAGCTGCATCCAGCAGCCGCTCCAGCAGACCGTTGTAGTCGCTTGCCAAGAAAAAGTCTAAGCACGGACCGAGCTTGGACCAGTCGCTCATTAACGGTACTGTAGGGATGAGACGAAACAAGACTTTCATGATCGCCCAGGTGACTTTCTGTTCCGCTTCACGTCTGCTGGAACAGCAACCGTTGTTGCAGATGTGGACAAAGAGACCACGTGTGAAAGAAGCATCGGCACCGTTCAGCACCCCGCCGAAACAATGTTCAATGTCGGCGGCCAGTCGCTGCAGCCCCTTGCTCGACCTGACGCCTGAAAAATGTGCCCTATGAATACCATATCTCTGTCACATGACCCGTACCGGCCCGTCTACATAAGCGGCTTATGCCGATACGCCGAAACAACATGTCACATGTCTATGTCTATGTCACATGTCTATGTCTATGTCACAGTCTATGTCACATGTCACGTCTATCTATCTTTGCCGCATCTACTGCCGGTATGCACGCACGCAATCCCCAGTTGTAGGTTCCACCACAGCTCCAAACGTTCAACGGCTAGATTCGGCTAGATCAAGTCGCATCAAGCAGAATCAATGTTTGAACTTCCGGCCTTGGGCAGGGTCTGCGGCCATCTGCCGCTCATGATGGCGAAGATTATCTTGCAAATACGAGCATAACTCTTGCCGGAACGAACGACCCCAGGAACGATCTTGGGGCGTGGGGTTGGGCACCCATCTCAGGAACTTCTCGTCCTGCACAAGATGTGCCAACGATGCCAGCAATCTCAGGAAATGGCCTCCCATCCTCAGCCAAAGGCTGGCGCAAAACAGGTTTTGGAGCAAACGGCCTCCACTATCAGCGGCCTTCGGACACTGCTCCACTGCATCACACATCACCAAATGGACTTGGTGATTGCCGCATTTGACCCATTCAGTGAAGATCGGGCTCTGGCCGGCTGCACGCTGCTTCTCAAGATTGTAGTGGTGGAAGTGCAGTTTCTCGTTCGCCAAGTGGGCATCGGCTTCGTGCAAAACGAAACGCAGCCTGCTGCAATCCAACAGTTCTTGAACGATGCGCAGGATCTCTTTGTTCATGGGGTGATTACGCAACCCGCTGCTGATTGCAGATGAAGAGTTTGTGGGTAGAGGCACCGGCGCCAACACACACTCGCGGTACAGCTTCAAGTTACTCTTGCCTGGGCCACCTACGAAGCCGATGCAAAAGTGAAGTCGCGCGACGAGGACCTGCCAGCTGGAGCGTTGCTGGTGGGCTCCACTGCCATGGACTGCAGGAAGAGCAAGGGTTTGCGATGTTTCGTCCCACATCAACGAGACGGTCGCTATGTCTGGCTTCGTTGCTTTCGCCCACTGCAAAAACTCCGTAAGCAACCTCAACTGCACCTCCATAAACGTCGCGCTTGACAAGATGAAGCATCTAATGATTGTCATCCTCGAAACTTGGTATATATCCGCCAAAGCGTGTCTGTTCTGGCGCTTGTCAAAAGCTATTCGAACCATCTCAGTCGGAGTCAACTTATTTTTGTGCAATCTCTTTCGATCCCGCACTCTCAACCGCACGGAAGCCGCCCAGCTCGTTCTCGGCTTCTTCAGTTTCAAAGCTTGGAGCTGCAGTGCATGGGATGATGCCAGAGCATTATGCGTGTCAGCAAATGTCACTAAAGCTTCGCCATTGGCTTTCAAAGCCTGCTGTTGCGCCTTTTGATGCCTAGCCAACCTGCCCGTAGCTGCCAAGAGACAGTGTTGACTGTACGTTCGATCTTTAGCAGCTCCTTTGCCAAATGCGGATTCCTGCAGAGGAAAATTGGGAAAAGACTGCCAAAGCTATCTGACGGTTGTGCGCAAGCGCAGGGCTTTGGAGCCTGAGGAGGAGGGACTGGATAGCAGGAGCCGAACCAATCGCTACATGATAATGAATAGTATCTGAATAATAAGTCAATAACCAAACCTAGCATCCCATACTGTGGCCGAAGCCGATGGAAGACTCTGATCATTAAGCTGCCCTATTTATGTGACCACATAGCATGGCCGTGAGGCTGAGGTGGCTTTGTTGATCTCATGCAATGCTTGCTTCCTTGGGACTGGCGGTTTCCGACTTCCGATCACCTCAAATACTAGCGTCAGCCCAACCATAAAACGACCAGGTGCAGCAATGTTAATCGGTGTTAATGTGTGCGTGTGTCATCACCTGTTGTGGCTCTAAAGTCAACAGTCTTTACTCTGTACTTTACAGGTTGACGTATGCCTGCTCTAGTGCATCATCTATGCAAAAACTTGCCCTGGCTCGTCAACAGGGCTTCGCCTCGCCTTGGTGACAGCGGTGTCGTCCATGTCGTCCCCCACATCCAACAAGTCCACATCTCTATCCTGGGTACTTGCACAGAGCGGATTACTAAGACCAAACGACACAACTTTTGTTTCATTGGAAAACATGAGGGCCATCAACAACCATGAATTCTAAACCCGGAGCCCGAGACCCAAGCGAGTCTCTAATCATCTAATCTAATCCTCAAAATTCCTAGCCCAAATCCCCCGCAGCAACAACATTGAATCTGCGAGGTCCTCGACCTTGTACGCAACGCCGCAACGCTTTCAACTCGAAAGCCCAAAGCCCGAAAAACCGAAGCCATCAAGCTTAATGCGCCTAGACTAAACCTTAAACACCCAACCCCCAAAACCCAAGCCCTGAACCTCAAAGACATTCTAAACTGAAACTCTAAGCCTAAGCCTAAACTCTCAACTCTCAACCTGAGAAATCTACACCTGAAAGACCAAATCCAACAAAGTGGACAATGTTCTGCTCATTAAGCAGAAATTGAAGTGATGTGGCATTTGAGCAAAATATGGGCGAGAGGCACTCCTGTCGATTAATACAGTCCAGAGACGGGAGTCTAGACTTTATGACTTTAGAACTTTAAACTTTATAATTTTATAATGCTATGGCTATGGCTATGATATGATTAATAATGCCTATAAGTGTAAGTCTGTAAGTCTGTAAGTTAAAGAGTAAAGAGGGCAGTACCATAACATGGACATTGCCGGACGACCTAACGTATCAACCAAAGTCAGCAACTCCACCCATGAAGTCATTTTCCGGTAGCATCGTCGGAGATTCATCGGCTGAAGTCAAAACTCCCACATATCAGATATGGGAAACAAAAGTCCTAGCCAGCCTACGCCCGCATTTCATTCGGAATCCGAAGACTCAGAAATCACAGACGGTCTCATGAAAATTTCTCCGCCGCGTATGATGAGGTCGGTGTCCTGCTCGAAGCGCTGCACGGCAAGCCCGGATGACGAAGAGATATCGACACGCTGAAAGTCGTTCTCAAAGTCTTCCGTCGTTGTCTTTGCCCCATTCTCGGCGTCTGTGCTGGCAGAGGGAAGCGTGAAGTCCTCATCGAAAGTGTTGGCTGAGCGAAGCGTGAAGTCCTCATCGAAACTGAGCACGGTAACCCCTGTGTTGGACGAAGTGATCTTGAACGACGAAGAGTCTGCACGCTCACGGGTGGCTTCCTTGCTGGCCTTGCTCTCTGCGGTCTTAGACTTGGCAGTCTTGGTTAGGAAGCCTTTGCGCAAGCCGGAGCCCCAAGCATCAGCCATCAGGACAGCGGACGAAAACAGAAACACCAAAATCTTCAACTAAAGAAGAGGGCAGCTTGGGCCGGCATAACGATTTATAAGCAGCAGTCTTGTCACATCTTGTCTTCACCGGTTGTGGCTTCTCAGCGGCTTGTTACTTGTTAGATTGTTTGTGTGAACAAAGCCAAGCTTCCCCGTCAGCACCATCAGGAGGATCAGGACCGTCTCTGCCGACGTTCTGCGGTACATCCTAGGAGAAACACAAGCCGGGAGGATCTAGAATCTAGAATCTAGATTCTAGATAGCCGGGAGGATCTAGATTCTAGATTGTCGATGATACGATGATTCTATGATTCAGGACTGATCCGAGGGCGCATGTGCAAGGCAGAAAGAAACAACTTTCTAGCATCCTGGTAAGTTTCATTCAACTCACACGATATGCTGCTACTTCTCCCTGGTGCCGTTTAGATTCCAAGCTCCGGAAACATCAGACCTGGGGTGGCCCTGTTGGGGAGAATTCAGAGAAATCAAGAAATCCCATACGCCAGATGCCATGCAAGAGAGGCACCCACATCTGGAAAAGATCTTCCGCATCTCCAGCATCATCTGCCTGGGACAAGCCAGCAATATTTGGCCGACCGGAAACTATACGCAGTTGGCTAAGTTGGCTGATGACTCACTGACTAGCTAGCACATGGCTCGTGTCATACCAAAGTTTCCAGACACGCTTGTTGCAAAGGACCCACACGCAGGAGGCATGACTCGTTACTCCGCCCTTCCTGTCCCTCTGATTTTGGGTTGCGGTTATACTGTTCGGGTGGTTTCCTTTCAGGGCTTGGTTTAGGGTTTATGGTTTAAGTTTAGCAGTTCAAGTTTTAGGAGTTTAGGACAGTTTAGGACATACTTGAGCCTCTGGGTCTAGCCGAGGTTCCCCTTTTCTGCAGAGGAAGCCCGGCTTAGGGTTTAGGGGACTGCGGGGTCACATAGCGTTCAGGGCCCAGCGTTTAGATATATTTTAGGGCCTCCTATTAGGGGAAGCTGGGCTTAGGGTTTAGTTTAGTGCTAGGCTGTTTCCCGAACCTTCCCGTCATGCATAGTCTGAGGAGGGAATCTGCTGTCCGAAATGCAAGCTGCGTTTTCCCAGCTAGCAAAACACCTGGAATGGCCCTAAATAACACGCATTCCCTTCCTAATGTGTCTCTGGTGCATTTGGGTCGCATGAGGGTGCGAGGTTAGACATTGAATGGAGTCGGAAAGGACGGCGCTTCGTTACCCAAGGCGAAACTGCATGAGCATGGTTAGCTTTGATCCATTGAGCTACACTAATGAAAATACTCATTAAACTAATTAAACTTTAGACTCTAGACTTTAGAATTTTAGAAGTTTCAGCATTAGTTTTAATGCACACCTTCATGGTCCATTGTAGTTGTACCTCGCCTCCACGTGGGCCGATGAAGCAGCGCTTCGATGAGCTGCTGCAGGGTCCTCCGTGGCCGTAGGTTTTATAAGACAAGCCGCTGACTGGCTGGCTACGGCTACTGGGTCAACTTTGGCCAGCAGACGATCATGCACTGAAAATCGTGTCACGCCGAATCTCACCCGTATCACAGCATCACCAGATGTGGCACTTACTTAGTAATTGTAAGTTCCGGATGTAATATGTCATGAGATATGAAAATCATTAAGAAATTAAGAATCAAGAATCTTGCAAGAACTTACATCAATTAGATAAACAATTAAATTATGTTCAAGTAAATTATTTTAAATACAGTTACGAGCCCAACGTCTCAAACCCGCATTGCGGCAATGCCAAACAAGACCGGCCAAACACATGTTAAGCTAACACCCCACATTGCCCGGCTGCAGAAGTCCTTGAAGTCTGCCAACAAATCGACAGCATCGCCAGCGGGATCATGTGGTAGAGCAAAGTCCTGCTGACAAGTTCGTCTCAGATTTCAAGACGCGGTCTGCTCTGGCCCGACAAAGGCTTTGAGACTCTAAGTCTAAGACTCTAAGACTCTAAGCCCAAATTCCCTGTCCGAGCTTCCCTATGCAGAATTCAAGAGCGGCCGCCATCGTTAAGAACACAGCCCCCGAGACGGTCCTCCAGCAGATCAAAAGCCGAATCTCCGGCCATTGAGGATGCGCGTTGGAATCATGTGCACCATGTGGCATGTAAATGTAACATGACTCGACTCATCTTCGTTGTCGGAAGAAACCCATGAATCCCATGAACCGCCATGAACGGGAGTTGTGAATTGAGTTGAGCTTTCAACACGTCTGCATAGTTAGCCCGGCCTACCTGATGGACATTGGTTGGGGAAGGTGGCAACCGAGGCACTTCTCGCGTGCACTTGAATCACCCGACGATGAATTCAGAGCACACATCCGCCGTGGCTAATCGCCCACAAGATGCTGCAGCTGTGGGCAGATTGTGGCCAAGACACAACAAAAGCGTCATCCCTGCTCAAGATCAAATCTCGATCTGATTATTCAACCCGACAGCTCAACCTGAAGATTGAAGGAACCTGTCAGGGAATCATGCAAAGCGAATGCGATCTCAGGTACAAGGTTAGAAGCCGGAATCTAATCGAAACATCAGTTACACTTCAATTCGTGCAGTCGTGTCACCTCGACCCGCCCATAAACACCAGCAAGCCACCCTATATGAGTTATGTTAAATTAGTTATAGTATATTATTATAATTATATGTATATTATATGATTCATATGATCCTATATGATTATATGAACCAATTAAACACATCTCAGGGCTCACTGCTCTGCATCAGGAATCAAGATTCATGAGGTGTGGAATACGTGCTGCGTGTTCACGCGCATGACCTGTCTATTTAATCCCAAAGTCACGTGGAGAAACTTGCTGTTTGACGCCGAGTGAATGTGGAAAATCTCTCTGTTTCAGGCGAGATTCGTGTGGAAAAACTTGTTGTTTTGCTGCCAAATTCGTGTGGAAAAACTCTCTTTTTGACCCCAAGCTCATGTGGAAAAACTCTCTGTTTCAGCCGAAATTCGTGTGGAAAAACTTCCTGTTTCCCGCCAAATTCATGTGGAAAAACTCTCTGTTTGACCCCAAGCTCATGTGGAAAAACGCCTGTGTAGAGCATGGTTCATATGGCTAAGTGAGCCAGCGTTTGGCGAGTTTAGAAGGTCCCTGGAAACGTGTTTGGCGAACCCCCCAAATCTAAACCCTCTCCGACCACGTTCC